TCCATTTCGTCCTTGAGAGACAGTAACTTGGATAGGCGTACGCGTCAGCAAGCAGCCTCATTTAGAAACAATCGTGATGAGCGACTGCCGTTCTCTGGCTGAACACCCCCCAACGGCTCTTCAAGGATGGATTGACTGCCCGTCAAGTCATGCCACGGAGCTTTTTGTATCGACAGGCCTTAAATCTTGCATCGTTAGCGTTATTCATAGTCTCGGCCGGTAATGAAATATTGGCCGATGGGCTCTGCCACTCCAGAGGCACAGGCCGACGTTGTTGCGCAGGGAGTTGACTATTTCGGGATGCATATCGTGACACCCGCTTGTTTACTTTTCTAATACTCCCTCGCTTTTTGTGGATTGGTAGATATCTTTCATAGCATCGATATTTTCTTCCCAAAGCTGCTTGCATTCGAGATGGCAGCTGTTCGACTTCACGGCTAGTTGCAAGCTCGAGCGGCCGTATATAATCGATATCTTGAAAATCGTAGCCGCTACCTTTGCTCTTTGTTTGAGTCGATATCGCCCAAGTACCTCTGTAATCCTGCCGAACATTTCGCTTACATCGATACTGCTCCGCATTTACATTTCAGTCGCAACAAAAGTTTCTGACGCGTAACGCAGCACAGATGCCCTAATACCCGCTCAACTCACAAAATTCATTCGACGAATATAGTGTGCGTCCGAATTAGAGCCGTTAATTACAGGCGTTAGTATCCCTACGCAAAATCTGCACCATCCATTTCCAAATTGAATCAATTTGCGTACTCGCGGTCAAACATTATTCGTGTCGTACTGATGGAAGACAGGCGGGCAGTCGTAAAGTTTAAAGCGACGGCGTATCGAATGGTGACTGATGTTTTCGAACCACGCAAAAGCAAATACATTAAACATTTCGTTAGAGCCGCTAATTAAAAGCGAAAACCGCGCGGAGAATAGAATGCAGCATAAGCACGCTCGCGAGCGTGAGTCAGTAAACTCATAATCCAGCGTTGCGGAAAAGCTCGCGCAATCAGTGTGCACAAGTGTGCATTCGTGTAAGGGGGAGGGGGGGGGGGTCGTTGGCGTACAAATATCTCTTTTACGTTCTTTCCAATTCCAATAAAACGGTCGACTTGGCTGCCCGAGCAGTCGAAAATAAAGAGAAAAACAACGACGACGACAGGTCGACGTAGAAGGTGAAGTGGTGTCAGGAGAAGACAAAGAAGTGATGATGGGTGAGAGAAGCAACGCCTCGAGCACGAGCAGCCTAGCACTACCATCGATTCCTGGAGCCAGTCCCGAAGGCGGAGCCAGTCCCCGTAGAGCGGTCAGCCCGCTGCTCGAGGTGCGCAGGCCGCACTGCACTCTCAACTGCGATCACTGCAGCGGATATCTCGAGGACCTTTACAAACACAGTACGTTTCACGCGGCGCTGCACACAATCCATCAAACTCATTATGATTACGAGGCGCGCTATGCCATTGACATTTCATCGGGACTGCATTGTGAATGTAACTACATACCGAGTGCTTACCACGGGCTCTAATTAACGGTGATTACGTCGCAATGGGGTGGGATCGATACAATCAAGGACGCAAAGTCGGCAATATAATTGATAAAATAATATTCAGCTAAAGCTTCGTACCGCATTCGATTGGCCAATAAAAAAATCAGATTTCGTTCGTTACAACTCCATTAAAGCATGCACAGCACGGCGATAAAAACGATTATGGGTTGCTAATTAAATGAAGAAAACCAGCAGAAATGGTTTTAAAAGATTTTTTTTTGTAATACCTTCAAAGCTGTCAGCAATAAAGATCTCCTTTATTGTGAAAGCCTAGCCCTTTTATGGTCGTAAAAGCCCATTTCAACCGTTAAAACTAGCAGCTCAGCTTACAATAATAAAAGCACATTGCTCCGAATGACTTTTCTTGTACATTTTTTATCGCTATTATAACGCAACTTGCCCGTGTTCAATTCAATTCTTAGCAACATTATTGTTAATATTCGGGTTATGTTTTTTGATTAATACATCAACAGGTGTAGTATCTTGCATCCGTGATCATTAAAAATTTGTCTACTAGCTCAAACAACGAGTAAAGTGAAGCATATATGCTAGGCGCGTCACTGGAATATTTCAGTAGTATTATCGCGAGATGGTCAGACGTGGCGTCCGGTGCAGTCGAGACTCTCGTACCTACCGCCTGCTAGGATTTTTACTGCACGATAGTTAATCCGACTAGACTGAGAAACAAACTTTCTTCGTTTGTATGATTTTCTTGGCAAAAAAAATTAATAAATAAAAAAGAAAAAAAAGACAAAAAACGAAAAAAAGAAGGAAGTTCAAGCTGAATTTGCGAAATATAGTTGACAATAGCATAAGTGCGGACGCGCACAAGTCAGCAAAGGAGAAAGATGTATAAATAAATGTTTAATTAAGCCATCAGTAGTAATAAAAGCTGACCCATGCGGGCAGACACTCGACCAGCAGTGATGAGCCGGAAAACGAGGCATTCGCGAAAGTGGAGAGAGGCGTGTCCATGTCAGCAGCGTCGAAAGCAATTTTCTGACATATCAGTAATAAGCTAAAAATCTGAACGGATAGGATAGCCTCAAAAGTGACGAAGTGACCGCTCTCGATCTCTTAAAACGGTCCGAGTGTCGATGTCGACGAACAATGCGTGTCAATGCAGGACTGAAGAGCTATCGAATACTGTCTGACGATATATGCAACGCGATTACACTGCGAACGCTTCCGGCTAAAATCATGCGCGAGACGTCCGGGTGCGCGTAATGTCGAGCTATGCTAGTTTAATGAAGTTGTCGAGTCAATGGTTCGAGGGCTTCGGAGTGATGCCTGGTAAATCTTGAGTGACTTATTTTTTATTTGAGTCTTATCAGCCATTTAATCCGGTTAGTTTTTCATGATTCAATTAACGTCAATCTCTGGATTTAGTTTAAATACGATCGTTGAATTTTTCGCCTCGGTAAAACATTGATCTCTTTTCCTTTTTATCGATGATTGCCACAATCTATTCATTCTCGTGAAGATAAAGAGCGGCATTGTCTCTCCTGCGAAAAACAATTTTAATTGGAAAAGAACGGTACAATGAATGCGTTCATCGGGTCGCATTCATGCATTTCAGTCAAGATAACAATGATAAGAATCTTGGGACGTTAAGAGCGGGCTCCAAGTTTTTATTTTACACACACTCAATGCACCCTGGAGCCTCGTAATTTTGCACGATCAATCAATACGCCCGCGACGCTATTCGCGTCTGCAATATAACCTCCTCCCCCTTAACTTGCCTCACGCCGAGACCATTCCCATTCACTGGAATGGATTTCTCACGAGGGAGCAATGCTCTGCAGTCGCGGAATTCGAATTATTTCGGCATTTTACGAACGTTCTTCTTTCTTTCCATTGTTTTTCTAGCTTCACGCGCCGGCGGCTATTTTGTTTGTAGCCACGCAAATGATTTCACGCTCAAGTTATTCAAGAGTTGCAAGTACAGAGGAAAAGCAAGAGAACTTGTTTTCTGCGTACTCGACACGGCGATGGAAAGTAATTTACGATAAAGCACTCGCGCGAGAAAAAGAAAGAGCTAGTGGATTACAATGTATGTCTGAACGAAATTGATGTATGTTTTCTGGTGCGAGCAAACTTTTTTCATCGCTTACAAAATACGGGATTAGCGTGGCTAAAGAAGCGGACGCGGAGAAATCAAACACGAGTTCGATTATTGTTTTCGAAGTGGTGCGAACGTAGGGGAGTAGGTCAACAAATTGGTAAAGCAGGTGTCAAAGCAAACGGCGACAGAAGTAAACAGGCAGCCGTCGCGAGCAAAAAGCAAAACTGATCTCGCACGCGAGTGCAACGACGGACTAGCCGGTGCTTGAAAGATAGCACGACTGGCCACCGCTGCCGAGCCATCGGTGTCCGGTCAGCGAGAAAAACACAGTACACTCTACGTTTTTGCGCTACTGTTGGAATTGCGCACCCGTTCTTTTTTCGTGATCAAGAGAACAATGATAGTTGATTAGAGAAATCGAAAAGCTGAACGACGCCTCTAATCAACCGGCTTTATTCAGATGTTATAATTAGCGAGGATGATGTAAACGGGCTTGTGTAAGCATCTTCCTCTCTCACTTTGGCTGTTTTCATCAAAATCGTGCGAGCGCCTAAGTGAAGTACGATGCCGCTCGGCAATTTTGTTTTAATTCAAGAAAAGACTTTCACCTAAATTACCTTTGGCGCCGTCGTAATTCATTCCCTTCTTTTCGATAAACGACACGCCTGCTTTGTTTCTTTTTTTTTTCTCGCTTCCTCTGGCTTCTGCTTGTACCCCCCGCGGGTTTCATTTTCTTCTCTCTCTCTCTCTCTCTCTCTCTCTCTCTCTCTCTCTCTCTCTCTTTCTCTCAGGCATGTAACTGGAGAACGAAGGGTCGAAAACAATTTTATTTTCTTTCAATTTACTCTAAAGAGAGGAAAAAACGTATCCAAGTTATATGCATGAAAAAGCTTGGGCAGAACTCAAATATACATCATGCTTAGAATACTGAATATGAATGTACGTTAAATTTTGCTAAGCTGCCAGGACTATACTACACCGCGGCTATATCTTTATTCGCTCATGGGAAAACAGACGAAGTCTTGAAATTTTGAGCAGAGTGGATAGGTAATGTCTTGGCTTACAGTGTGGCTTTTGTATCTTATTGCCGAGAGCTAAGAGGGTAAAAGATCCTTTTTCGGTCGAGTGGTATCATATTTTTACTTTTTTAGCATTACACGATCCTTCCTAGGAATCGAGGATTTCGAAGTCAAATTATAATTAATAAATTTCTCGACATCTACATAAATTTACTGAAGTATATAAACTTGAGCTTTTGTATTTAGTTTGAATAGCGGATAATTATAGTGTACAGAAAGTCCAATTGTAAATATAGAGAAGGATTCAATATGAGGATCAACAGCGTTGGCTTCGTGAGATTAATTGCAACTGTTTTTCATTGTGTTACAGAGATAATTGAAGGAGTTCGAAGGGGCGGTGGATCTCCGTTGAGGCCTTTCCTGGATGAAACTTCTGTCGATGAAGAGGTAAGCTTTACAACTTGAAAATGAGCTACTTTGTAAGTCAGACTTTTATCGTTAACCGTGAATTGATATCATTCTTCTTTTTATGAAGCACATCCTTTATCAAAACTTTTAGAAAGCGGAATGTAATTGGTTGTTAATATATAGGTTGCATCATTGATGGATCGATGTTGGGCCGAAGATCCTGCCGGTCGACCAGATTTTGCTGGGTTGAAAGAAATCGTTCGAAAAATTAATAAGTAAGTGTGTTAGATAATAATACTTTGACATGTGCAATTTTTGTTAGCCACTCTATATATATACTAAAAATACCATAAGGTATTTTTGGTAGATATTTATAGTTCGCATCATGAATAATCATAAAAAACGCGCAATCGACAATTTGATTTTATCGGTTGCGTATTCGTTCGAGATGTGTATCATCCACAAATTCATAAAATTGGCACTCGAATGTGCTCGAAGAATTGAATTCGAGCTGCAAAGCAGGACGTAAGAAAATGAAGAATTGGAACTAACTACTTGCTGTCTCCAATGTCTATAACTCAATAACTCAAGCGTGTGGACGATGCAAAAATAGGGGAAAAACAAATGAGAGGAGAAAAGGTACGGTCTCGCAGAAAAATTCCCCGAGCATGCTACGTGGTCGAGTGGCTCTGCGTGACCGGGAGCCTCGTGTTCATTTATGCGCCTCTCTGGTCAGCCACCTCTGATATTGGCATACTTCCCGACTTTTCCATCGATCCATTCTCTCTCTCTCTCTCTCTCTCTCTCACTCCTCCTGATTCTCCTCCCTCGTCTAAGTCTCCTTCTTGGCGCAGCGATTGCATGCACGAGAGCAGCAGCAGCGCTGGATGAAGTGCCGGATCAAGCCCGAGATGACATGCCCCGAATGCTAAATTTCACGATAGCGCCTGATGGATTGAAATTTTATACCGCCGTTATAATCTCTGAATTAAACATTTTCTTCCTCCACGTCAAATAGATATGACGATAAAACACTACTTTCGGCGAGAGCTAATGCACGCATGAGCTTTCGCCGGGGAAAGAGAATTCGTTTGGCCCTTTATATTTTTACGAAGCTACTGGAGGAAACTCGCGCTCGTGAGAAATATCCGCCGATTGGCGATCAAGCTCCGTTTGTTTGGCAAAGCTAAGCGAGCAGCTGCCCTCGCGTTAATCTCGTATTTTACGACTCGACCCCAACATTCGCCTTTTATGGCCCGTAATGCATAATCGATGGAGGTCAGCCGAAACGCGGTTCTTTAGACATCTTTGATCATGCCCCACTAACGGACCTTTCACTTGAACGTACGTGGGCATGTAAATCTTCTATCCCCCTTTCCAGGCTCTTAACTCCTTGTGATTCTGCAGAGATGTACAAAAAAGGCAGTAAAGGGCAAAGGTTTGTCCCGAAGTGCGAGGGGGCCATGTCGATATTCAATATGCAATAGGTACATTGCAGGCGAGAGAACTCGAGGGAAAAGCTTGCTCGGCGTATATTCATCGTGTGAAATACGCTCGCCAGCCACTCTTTTCCTCTGCCTCTTTCTCTGCCTCGGATGAATTTTTCATCTTTGTGCTCTTGACTCGCGTTGACCTACCGCGATGTAATACATTTTATGGATATTGCAGTTTTAACGAACTCCTATTACGTCTCTTCGGCTGATCCAGTTTAGTTCCAATACTCGGCATTTGCTCGCGATATTGAAACAAATGCGCCATAAGGAATCAACAATGTTGTCCATTATTGAGCAAGAGATGCTCTTGAAACAGTTTGATCCTGGTCCTCTGCCGTAAGCATCGTTATATTAACCGAGATAAACTAACATTTGCTCAAGAAAGCAGACTTATTTTGTCGTTGAGATTCACTATGGAAAAAATTTTATTAAAAAAATCCCCTAATTTTATATTTTAAGTAGATACAAATCCTCTCGCATATAAAAAAAAATTTGAAAAGATAAGTCTTAATTTTAAACTGTTGAAATGATTAAAATGATGTATTGTTAAAATGATGAATGAGCTAAAAGAAAGTGTTCCAGTCCTCCAAGTTTGCTCCATTTAATGTTCTAGCTACCTCGAGATTATCCATCTCTGACACGTAGCTCCAGCTAACGGAAAAAATCTCAACAGTCCACCTAAATATTGCATATAATACATATTTTTTAAGTGATTCACACTGTTAATATAAATGTTTTGAAAATTTCTGCATAGATAATCTATGATAAACGCATAAGCGATGATCGTAGAACTTATATATTTGTCGTGTTTATGAATAAATTAGCAGCGGCAGTGTCGCATGTTCGAGTGCTTTTCACGCAGGAACAGAGTGCATAAAATAAAGGCATTCGTGACTTTGACGCGCTGATGGTAGATAAGAGGCGCAATCTTGTCCTCAATCGAGCGCACTCGCGAAGCTTACTTATACGAAGCTGTAAGATGTTCACGAGCTAGCGGCAACTTTGAAATATTAAAAAACGGAAGAGCGAGGCATTCTCATTTCTCTCGGGAGACCTCATTCCGTATTATCTGTCTTAAACACGCGCCGATATTTCTTCCCCTCGGCAAACTTCCTCTTGCTCTCTACTTTTTCGAAGGAACGAGATTGCGCGCCGAGCGCGCGGCTACTCTTGCTCAAAATAATACTTGCTTGAAAATTTCAATTCCTCCGCCCACCCACCCCCGCCCCATCAGCCGTACTCGTGCAATAATCAAGATTTGTACGGGTATTCAGTCGGCGAATCCATTTGAACGTTGGTAGAGAGCAGAGGGGCATGGCGACGCCATTGGCGTCTCGCCGCAATTTTAGCTCCAGGGCTCGTGCGAGTGACTCTGGCTCCGTGAGCTCTGTCTACCTTTGCTCCACTTACGTTAACCTCATTTCTCTCTCTCTCTCTCTCTCTCTCTCTCTCTCTCCCCGTTCTCCAAGAGGTCATATCATCACGCTCGTACATACATATATCGGTCAGTAAGCACAAACCTGCATTACTTTTTATCATTGTGCATTATCGCCCGCTTAATTTTCTATCAACCGTACAAGCAGAGCCGAAACAGCATCTGAATTTCAATAAAAGAACTTCAGATGCAAAGTCACTGTATGTTGTTTGTATTAGCGTGTCACAGATGCATGGCATTTGTTCCACTGGTATTCTCTTTCATCAGTGGCTAGGGGATCAAGTTCCGCGTTGTGCACTAACAGTAAAAACTCGAAACCCAGTACAACAGCTGCGCTGTCCTGACGTTCATCTGCAGACTTTTTCTAGAAATGACCGAGCTTTGAATTAGTAAATGAACAGACCGAGCAAATAGCAGAGATAGCGAGAGTAAATCAATAACCTGCTCTTCCCGTGCGCTTATTCGCGAAACGCACATACAATGGCATGTCGGTTTTATACGCCAGAACATTAACAACAACGATTCACGACAGCTAAATGGCGAATGCTGGATTGTACGCATTTCAAATTTCTCATCATTGAATTCGCGAGTTTGCTTGGCGAGTGCACGCATATTATAGTCGCCCGTTCGACGTCGTCGCCCTCGGCCTGCTCATACGTATATATCGATTCAAATCAAGCGCTCCGCTATATACCCTAGCAGCCTCTCCCCTCTGTATGCTACGCCTATATATACAGATGCGCGCGCGCGTAGCAGACAGATATTATGACGTAGTCAACGGCCTCTCCAATTTCGTTGGATCGGGATTCACGAGCGTGCACAGCCAGCATCTAGCGCTCAAGTGATTTAAGCTAAGCTTTGATCTCCGTGCAACCTACGCATGATTTCAATAACAGTACAGGTCAATACTGTCGATACCTCGAGCATACTGTTCAATAATTGTTTTTGCGTAATCCGGCTGAGGCAGATATTCAATATAATCAATGCGAGATATTTCAGCGCTAATGAGAAAAAGTTAGCTAACAAACGAGTATTTTCCTGAAATGCACCAAGATTCATTAATAAAGCGTTGATGCCTAATGCACGCGTGCGATTTGCGCGTATCTTCTCATCAATCAACCAGCGCAAAATTGACTCTGTTGCCGAGTCATAACTTCTGGCGAAATTCCTCTGGAACGAGCCTGTCATGGATGCTACAGAGATGCGCATGGCAATAGACCGCGCAATTTCGTGGTCTTGAAACACTCGACTAATAATGAGCTGTGCCAGTCGTCAGTCATTCAATGATTCAAAGTAGAGCAGTACTGTAAGCAAGAATCTGTCAGCTGGCGAATGATTGTTTTTCGACCAATCTCGCTGTAGGTCAGCCTTCATTATTCTTATCTCTTGTTTACGATATAGTGCATGACTTGTAGTACTAACTAAGCTCTAGTTTCCATGTTTAATCGCGGAATACGTATAGAGCTGCTATGTCTGATTGTTCATTTCTTGTGGCTCCAAATCCGAGTAAAAGATAACTGCACAGTCTATGCGTTGATAACGAGGGTCGGTAACATCGACATCAGTTAGAAAGGGAGGTGCCCATTACTCGTAATATGTTAGACTTAACGATGCGCGCAATAAAAGTCGTTCAATCCGCGTGGCACTCGCTAATTGGAAGTTTACTGACACTGTACTAGTTGGCTGCTTCTTTTACAACGTACTTATTCGCGGTCTATTTCCCCGGCATTGTTATTTCTTTGCTTAGACAAGCGCGATACTGCAAATAGTCCCGGGGATCTGTCACAACTAATTCGCGAACAAACTTACTCTGCCACATGCTGCTGCTTTGTCCGTGCATTGTAATATCCGAAACTCTCTTACTTTACCGGAGCCTCATTTATTTTTCAATATCTACTCAACATACGCCCCCCCCCCCCCGCAGCGCAGCCCCGTGCACAACTTGATCGAAACGTTGCAGCTCATTCAAAGTTTTAATGCGTGAGGAGTCGTTAAGCAAAAGAGGAAATAAGTAGTAAAACTTGTTTACGTCGGACAGCACACAGTACTCGCACTCCAATTTGCAATCTCCTAGTGGCGTACCCACCGTAATAACAGCCTCTCTCCCTCGAGTTGCTTTCGATTGAAAAACTCGCTCTGTGAAATGTGATTACCGCGCGCGCGCGCGCGCGCGAAATGCCTCTTTCACTTTTGTAAATCAAAATTTCATTTGCCGCCCGTATTTCTTTTCGCCCGGCTATAAATTGAATAACAAGCTTTGCGCTCGGCTTTTTTTCTGTTTTGCAGGGACAGCCGAATCAATAATCTACTGGACAATCTGCTCTCGCGTATGGAGCACTACGCGGACAACTTGGAGAACCTTGTGGCTGAGCGCACGGCTGACTATCTCGAGGAGAAACGAAAATGCGAGGAGTTGCTCTATCAGTTGTTGCCCAAGTGAGTGGACGCTTTCTCTTCGCACGCTCTTGCTTGCCTTTTTGCGCTCTCTCCTCCGCTGTCCCCCAAGGAAATCTTCGTCGCGCTACCTTGCTCCCAAGCCCAGCGGAATCGACGTGGCTTTCGTCGCGCGACGGCGAAAAACTAATTTTGCAACTGTCCAGACTCGTTTAGCCTTTGCCCTCGCTTTGTTGTTTAACTAGTTTTTGCGGCCATTAACTTTTAACGGCTCGCTCACTCGCGCGTGTGCTCGTTTGTTTGCACACTCGGTCGCGCGCGCGCCATTTAATTGTGACTTTTAATTAACGTGGATTAGTCGGTTTGCCAGGAAAGCCGCGAGCTTTATCGACTCGAATCGCATCAGCGAAACTTTGCTGGAGCTTTAAATCCAACTTCTCCGTAAAGTGATGGAAAGAGAGCGGAGAGTTTTGAATCTTTGAACCCAATTAGAGCCTATTGAAAATTAAGCGCTGGATTTTTCCGTGAACAAGGCAAGCCACAATCATCCCATCGGTCTAACGACCAATCCAAAGCCGAGGCGCGCTCAACATCATCACCTTCACGACTGAAATACAGTGGAAGCTTTCTCGTTTCTGTTCTTCAAGCTCGAGCTCGTGTTACACGCCTAATTGTCTCCGATTTGGCCTCGTTCCTCTTTTTTCTGCGCGCGCACATCGACGACTTTTCTCGAAAAAGGATTGTAGCAATAGACGCCCGTGGCTCTCGCTAAATCTTGATTGATTGTCAGCACGAGGATCCATCGTACACGAATACGCTGAGCAATTCACGAGCCGACGAGGGAATCTGTACGTGGAATTGAACAAATCAGTAGTAAGGGTCAGCCTTGTGTCAGACGCCGCGATTGCTTCTTTTGATGTTCAAGTCACTACATCGGGTTTCATAATGCAGCATTGATGCAATCTATGTGAACGTCTTTGAAGTGATGAGCAGCTCTTTCACGTATAATTGCCGACGCTCCGGCCGGGGATTTACTGCCGACACTCGAAAGTATTTTTCAAAAGAAATAACTCGACGCGGATGAAAAGTCCAGCGCGTTTGATTAAAATGCTCCTGCTTCGACGCTTCTCCGGCTTTTTCATTCGAGACTTTTCCGTAAGCTCCATTATCCGCACGGTCTTTCGAATGATCTTTTTCTTTTCAGTTTCTCACTTTTCCGAGATGATACGCGAGCATTGTATTCTCGTATAAAGCGAGAAAGTGGCTATAACGAAGCTTTCTTTCCATAGCTACAATAATTCTCGTGAATTATAGCAAGGCTTGTTGTGTTTTTCTGGCTATTTTTTTTTCATACTACTCTTGCTTCCTTGGCCCCGTAGGAATTTTTCACGCACTGACGCTAGCTAATGAACATGCTACCGCGCTTTTCGCTTTTGTTCCCAGTGCCGTCAGGTAATTAAAAAAGTTTTAACTAACTGTCGTGTAGGTCGGTGGCGTCGCAGCTGATTCTAGGAAAAAGCGTGATCGCCGAGATGTACGATTCGGTAACCATCTACTTCAGCGACATCGTCGGCTTCACCAGCCTCTCCGCAGAGAGTACACCGCTGCAGGTCGTCGATTTCCTCAACGACCTCTACACGTGTTTCGACTCCATCCTCGAGAATTTTGACGCTTACAAGGTAAACCAGACAAATTGATCAATATCTAACTTTTTGTTTTACTCTTTTATCCGCAAGTTAGGAATGTACGTATAAAAAAGAAACTTGTTTTGATTTATCGACGTGTTCTGCTCGAACAATTTATACGTACGGCTAGCCGGAAGAAGAGAAATAAGAAACAAGCGGAAAAAAAAGAAAAATACCAGAGATAGGTCCGACTAAGAAAGCTTTGATGATTTTGTTACATCGAAGGGGAGAACGATGCAATTTTCTTTTCTTCTTCGTTTCGTCGTTCGTTTGCTACAGTTTCTCGCAGATCACTAAAATTCCATATCTATGGCCAGCTGACAAACAACGGCTTTCAATGAATAAATATGGGTGGGCACGATAAAGCAAAAATTGCGCAATCGTAGTTTCGCACTGAATGAAAATTCGACCAGCCACGTATGTATTTAATCGAATCGTTCTTCGCAGCAATTAATCTGAGCTAAGGATTTAGCTCACTACTGCCTCTGATGTCCGTATTATAGACATTAATGGTTACTAATTTTTCCAACGGGTTTAATTGCGATGGTACATAATAGAAATCTTATGATACGTTCAACGATCATTCCAAGAGCTTTTATTTTCTAAGTCAATTTGGATAAATAATAATATATGTAAAAGTTTTATTTCGATGAAGATTTTCATTTGAAGTAACCGCATAAATAAGAAGCAACCGATAACTTCCAAGAAATAAAATTGAATTTCTGTCATGATCGATTGAATGATTAATCGACATGGAACGTATGGAATATTTTATTGGAATATATTAACATAAATGAATGTCATTATGTATTCAATACAGCTTCTCGCTAAGCTGTTAAAATATCTCTTCTAAGTTCCAAGCAAATTAAGAAAATAGACAGATTCGATTAGGCATTTGAGGCTTAGCACGAGTCATTCGATTTCCATTGCAAAGCGAACAAGACTTTCGGCAGTAAAGTAGATTTCGAACAAACGTAAACTTGGCAGTAACGCCAGTTTGTCGGAAAGTTGCTCCTCGCCCACGTCTAATTCCAGCTTGCCGGCTAATCCGGTGGTTGTAAAGTCAGCGGCCATTCAAAGTTACATTACACCCATGCGCCTCAACGTCCCTATCGACAATCCATTAGAGCGATACATTGCTATGTACACCAATTGGATTCCGTGCCGCTGCTCCCGTCTCTATGGCTGCATTTGCCGTGGCTTTGATTATGTTGAGAAGCTAAGCGGGATATATGTGCCTGAGCCGGAAATTACTTGTATCGAAGGGTTTTGCAATCAAAGGTTGTTATACGTTTGTCGGGCACGTCGGCGTCATTGTCATTAAGATTAAATCAGGTCAACATTGTCGGACGGGATACGCGCGCTTACTTGACGTCAGACGGGAAGATGCAGACACTTTCGGCACGAACAAAATATTCGATCTCTGCTCCGGAAAAAATTGCCGGTCTGTGCACTTCTTAGCTAAACATTGCCTCGGAAAATGACTATGGAGCTATGTAACGAATTTACGGAGCGTCAACAGTGGTTTCTATTCGCTTCTATGCGTGACGGACAATAAATAAGTCGATGACAATACATGTTCGATTACATCTCGACAATGCGATCAAAATGAGAGGGAAGTAATGTTGGGGGAACAAATAAGAAGCACGTTTGACCGATTCAAAAGGACCTGTGTGCAATTGATAGTGTACAAGCAGTCGAACTGCTTGCTTTAGTTCGCCAGCCACTCGGCGTGAAAGGACCTATATAATGGATGAGCTTCGGAAAAATCAAACTGCGCTCAGCTTCTGATGCTTGGTATCCAAAGCTCTCAGGGTATGAACTTGATTTTTTTCAAGCTATGTTTACCGGATGAATTTTTTATGTCTCATCGGCTATGAACGCTTTCATCGACATTCCATCATTGACATTATCTCTGACCTATACTTATGACTCTCGATAATAAAAGCAGCCTCGTAACCTCAAGGAGATTCCGCTATGGATATATACTGAAAAAAGTATCTGCGATGAACATAGGATCGAGTATTTGTCTACGCAGATGATATGAAAATGACTGTTCGTGTGTTCGCAGGTGGAAACTATTGGCGATGCTTACATGGTGGTGTCAGGACTACCAGTGAGAAATGGAATGAACCACGCGAGGGAAATAGCCAGGATGAGTTTGGCCCTAAGGGACACGGTCATGACGTTCCGCATTCGTCACAGGCCTAACGAGCAGCTGAAGTTACGAATCGGCTTGCACACTGGTGAGACATACTCCTAGCGTCACGTATCGCCCGTTGATAAGGTGGCGCAGCGCACGTACAATCGCCTATAACGTCATCGCTAAGTCTACGCCCCATCAGTCGCTCGCGTAATAGCAATTCTGCACGACGAGCAAGATGTTCCTTGTGTTTTTTTTGTTGTTTTGGTACTTGTATTATCGAGAAACAATTGTTTGTCAGCATCCGATTCGATCGAGCGCATCTGGCGCGTAGGATAGTTTTTATTAATGGCGCTCCTTAAAAGGTCGAAAAGGCTATTTGCCGCGCGACAATGTTATCGTCGATATATCACGCTCGTAAATGTAGAAAATCCGGCGTGCATTGGTGTAACTATACTCGTAAGAGAGCGAAAATGGAGCGAATGAAGGGATGATAATACGCGTACTTGATAGCAAATAGACAGTTAACGTTCACGTGATTTATATTCAACATTCGAGATTCGTCCTGTAATAACAGTGCAAGGAGCTCACAGTCTTTGGGTTCGGATATAACCTTGAAGCAAAATTCAGTTTGCTCCCTCGACAGATCAGCGTAGCCGGATTCTCGCATTTGCCTCGCCCCTCTTCTTTCTTCCTTATTTTCTCTCTCTCTCTCTCTCTCTCTCCAATCGTCTACTGTCCGGCAGGCGCGCAGTTGTCTTCTGGCAGTTTGAAATATCACAAAGTCGGCAGTTTGTTGCGTGACACTGCTGCACTCGATTGACCACATCCATCAAGTCGGCCAGCTCGTATTTCTTTCTCGCACGCTTCGATTCTTCTCTTTACCCTCCTCCTCTGCTATCTCACGCTCATTCTGCCTCCCTTTTCTTCTTTCTTTAGGGGGAAGATTAGAATCGTCAGCTCTCAAGATACTTTTGTTTTCACGAAAGTTTCTTTATCGAGCACGCACGCGCTTTTGCAGCGTGAGAATGCAGTGCTTCGTTTGGCGACTGTTAGCCCCGTGTGAAAATTCATTAGTTCATGCAGTCGGACAAAATTGCTTTTTTGTCACAATGAAAGAAATTTTTCTGGGATCTGCTCAAACGTATCTTTTCTTATAGTTGTTGTTCTTGTTGCTGTTTTATGCTTTTGTATAATTACTGCGAGGGAAGTTATCACGAGTCGGTTTATAAAACGGTCAACGGTGCCAAGTTTTCGGAAGTACGTCGTAGAAAGTGATGCTGAACAATTCGTTTGGTTGAGAGCGTTTCGAAGCAATGTAAGCTAATCACTCGAAGGGATCTCCGCTTGAGTGGAGAACTTTTCCCTACCACCCAAGGGAATCTTTCATCAGAGTTCCATCCCGACAGAAGTGTCTTGGGCCTCGTGGAAAATTCATTTCAAAACGTCTATCCGAATAATTTATTTAGCTCGAAAGCAAATAGCAATTGCGAGGCGATAAGAGGAAATAAGGCGAGAAGTAAATGTTTTTATCGGTCTCGCTGTCGCAGGCGGAAAAGAAAACGCGGATACGAAGGGTGCGAGCAAAGTAAATTACTCGCTACACCCTTTGGCAGTGAGCTTGTGAGATCGAATTAATTAATGAAGAAAGTATGAGAACGAAAATACTCAAAGAATTTGCTTATCGAGCTAGTTGCAACTCAGCCAAGTTTTGAGAAGCCCATAAACAAGCGCGCTCGGACTCGTAGTCATCCACGTACATCAAACGGACGTTAATATTTGTCATGTATAATGGGGGCTTGTTGCAGGACCCGTAGTCGCGGGCGTCGTCGGTCTCAGGATGCCAAGGTACTGCCTGTTCGGCGACACAGTCAATACGGCCTCGAGGATGGAAAGCACCGGCGAAGGTAAGCGAGCCATCTCACTGCCTTGTACATGCGACCCTGAGATTTTCATTCGCAATGGACGATACGTGCATGCAGGTGTCTCATGGGGGGTTTACGTGAGAAACAATAACAAAAAAAAATAAAAAACAGATTTGCGAGCGAGCGAGCTCCGCAGGGATATCTGCATATACCAGCGCGCATCGGCACATAACTGAAAACTGGTCGATTTTTATCGCTAACCCGAATTTTTCACTCGAGCGCTTTTGAGCCTCTGGGACGCCGCGGAAATACTCTATCCGACTTTTCGCTTGCCCGACGCGCTGCGCACTGCTCCTACTTTTCTCCTTGAGTTTCGTTTGATCGAAACACAACGAGCAAATCGCAAATACGTTTACGAGTTGCGCGCGAGTGACCGGTGCTGACAATTGAAAGAGCAGGATCAAGTATATTCAGAAGTATAATCGAACGGTACAAGGAGTGTCGTGTGTTTGCCTGGCGCTCAAATGGCGCGTATTTGTTGGTTTTATCGCATTCAACAGTCTCGTTTGATAATTTCATTGAATTGCACGGGCGGAGAGTGTGCAGCGTGGTCATTTTCGTAGTTCAGCAAAACGCCGGATTCGTTTTCAGGAACGGAGAAGCAAGTTGATTCGATCGAGGCACGTCGGCTGACGACGAACGTACGAAGTTACGGGCCAAAAGCAAGACGAATGCGGGAATGAAAAACAAGTAATTGGCATACTTGCCGAGCGTTGCGGTTGATAGATCTGTAGGGCGGAGGAGGAGGAGGTGGAGCTACTAAAGAGCTTAAAAGCCACCACTGAATCGTCAGGATTGCCGGATACAGCGCTGTAGTAGGATACTTTCGGTCTCGCCTGGCCCTTTCTCGCTCTGTCTCGCGCCACTTCTGCCGACTCGCAGTCATTCCGAAGTAGGTCGAGTCACGTACGAAAGCCGACGGCTCGCTCCACTCTAAGCGTGCATGCATTTTATCCGCCCTCCTTCTTCGCGCGCGCTGCACGACTGTTGTTCTAACTACTTTTTTCATCGGGTTTTCTTTATTTTTATTGTTATTTTCTTCTTTTTTTTTATTTTAATTTGTCGAGAAGAGCTCTGAGTGATTTCGCTCCCCCCTTGCTATGCGTTCGCTCGTGCAAAAATTAATAAAATGTAAAAGCGAGCGTCCCAGTTTCTGCACTAGATGAATGCCGCGCCAGCGTTCAGTTTTTGTTCAACAGTGCAAACATGCAGGATAATGAAGGAACCACATGGGAAAAAAGTTTCGGTCGTCCGCGGGCGAAATAATCCGGAAATTAAACGAAAAGTCGCGCGATAGCAGTTGCAATAGTTTCACAGCGAGCCACAGGTTCCTTCTATACGGCATTGTGCATGAGCGTCAGATATTGCCCGTGACGTTATTGTTGACTCGCCAGCCAGTTTGACCTCCGTCGATTGAGTCGCGCAGGTGCCCGTTAAACTTGTCAAAGGGTCGCGGGGACAAAACTTTTAGCCAGTGTTGAAAGGACCACGAGGCGTTCTTGAATCATGCAATTGATTATGGAAAAGCCAGGAGACGCGAATGAACTAATGATTCAGTAGCATCTGCTTGTAGATTGGATGAACAAAGTAGCGATAATTTGTCGCGCGGAGCGAAAAAAAATGTTAGAATAATAGGGCGGCACGTTGAAATAAATAGTTATCGGCAAGAGCGTTGAGCGAATCTCACCACCGTCACCGTGAGAATCTCTTCTCAGCCGTTAGGGGAAAAAACAATCACGGCTTACATAATGTGCGTACGTCGCGTGCTGAAATGAAGAGAAAGCGCGACGTTGTTTGAGAAGGCTGGCACTGCGGGTGCGTGGACGATACTGGCGGCTGTTGCTACTGCATGGGCGCGATCGATTCCGAGACCTTTTCCGAGAGAGTCTGCAAGTTGAGACGTCCCTGAGACATGAGCAAAAATGCCGGCTGGAAAGTTAAATCAAGTTTAGGGTGGCGGTACTAAAAACAAATTTGGCGGGAGACTTTCAGGACGCCCTGCCAAATTATTCAACGAGAAGTTCGCACAAGTATATTATCAGCTGCTGTCCCTTGACTCCTCCGGGCGAAGTTTGCTCAACTGAGCTTTTCGTGGAAATCGATTTGCTCTGAAATGTCCTTGATTGTGTTCGAGGAGATCCCTCTTCTTCTTGTCGGTCGAACAATACACGGCGCTCGTGTTTCTACGGACTAATCATTGCTCTGAAAAACTTCGTTTGATGACTCGCGTGCGTAAATATGCTTTCTTTTGCAGAACTAAAAATACACGTTAGCACAGATACCAAGGAACTGCTCGATACCTTCGGGACCTTTGATCTTGTGCTCCGTGGGGAGGTTGAGCTTAAGGTAAGATCAATGGTATTTTTCCACTATTTTCGAAGAACATCCAGATAAAATAAAATTCTTTGAACAAATACACGAGCATTGCATTGACCAATCGATTCAAGGCCTCTGAGAGACCAGTAAATTCCACGACAGTGAATTAATTTGTACATCCTGATCAAACAAACCAATCGACGTATTTATTTACATTCGTCAGTACAGCACGGATTTCCCGAGAGGATTTCGCCGAAGCTTCGTAAACTAGGATGAGCATGATATGTTGTGCACAAATGGCTACTATGCTACTCTTAATGAAGCTCCGCTACCGCGTCGTATATAGCGTATCGCAAATTGAATCCTACATTACGATTATCTTGTCGAATGCTGGATTCTTGTTTGGCTTATTTATTAGTTAAATCGGATTTGCCAAAGATTATTTCACAAAGTGAAAAGCAAAGTCGGTGACTCGTTTGCGAAGCGTTCAAACTGTATTATTTGAAAGCTGAATAATGTATTTGAGCGAGTACACGCTCGGTGAAGTTTAGGAGCAACGTTCTTACGATGCAATTGGGCAAGCAGAGCTTTCGAAAAGCTCCGTGTGAATGTGGCAAAAGTCGTCGGTTCGGGAAGAAAATTCGAAAAGTTTGTTTGTTGACGCAGGGCAAAGGCAAGAAGACGACGTACTGGCTGAGAGGTGAAAAGTCGATGCCTCCGTCTGAGAACAACAACGTCCATCAGCAGCACCCGCAGCAGATCCAGCAGGTGTGCACGAGTCTCAACCAAATCCCATCGATCTCGACGCCGCGACACTCGTTTTACGGCAGCTCGCAGCAATCTCAGACGTCGCTGGTGGGCAACGGCGCGCCGCCAGCTCTGTCGCCGTCGCACGTCCGGCCTCAGCCAGTCGCGCAGTCCAACAGCGAGAGTCTGCCGAATCACAACGCCGAGAGCGGGGCGAGCACCCCTCTGCTGCTGCCTGTCGGCTCGGTACCTTGAGTCGCCGAGGCCCAACGATAGACTGGCTGTGCTCGATGTACGATGATCATCTACTCTATCCAACCTTTCTGTCTCTCTTTCTGACCTACGCGCGACGTCCTCTTTCGTCGTCGGTCTGTCTGTCTATCTGTTTGCCTGTCCGTAGTCACTCCGGTGGCTGTTACCGTTTCGATAATTCTGTCGTTCTTGAGAGAATCAAACGAGAGAGAGAGGTGCATGTACTTTTTTTCCAGGCTTGGAGCTCATCGAACCCACATACGTACGACAGTACAAAAACACGTGAAAGTCGCTATACGTCGATGACGGTGAGCGTCGCATCGGGCGATAAGAGAGACGCGCTAGCGTACATTCAATTCTACGCTCTCAAGATTACTTTTTACGGCCGCCTCTCGCTTTCTCGTCCTTTTTCACCGACGCGTCGTTCTCTCGCGCGATCGCGACTCGCGCCGCCTGCAAACGCAAACGCGACGACCGTGACTTTCTTTTTCGAGGATTTGCATTACGAAAATCCGCACAAAGACGCGCATTCTGTTCCTTAATTCGCGTGTTCGCGATAGCCGATGACGGTGCTTTCGTTTTTTCCGCTCGACTTGCTTTCCGTGGGCGCGAGCGGATGGCGCTTTCGTTCTGGCTTTCACGCATATAAGCACGCATTCGCCGCCGGGGTCTTCTCGTTTCGGCGTGCATTATACTCGCCCGCATTTCAGCGAGCAATTACAATGGCTTTTTCTCTCGCGACGAGATTGCCAATCACCTACTTTTTCCTACTTGGTGCTTTCGCGGAATCGTAAAAAATTGATTTGCATCACACAAAGAATGACTTTGAACGACGTCGTCGCTGCTGATGGGTTTTTTCAATTTGAAATCCCATTGGTAGTCGGTAATCGTGCAAAAATGAGCTGTATTGTCGGTCCCGCGTCCGCGCGCATGCGGGTATAACAGACCTAAGAGAGATTTTCCCCTCATCCTTAACGAAGTCATATACAACGCAAAATATACACGAAAATATATATGGCATGTTGAGCAATGCAAAGAGACACGGACAATGAATCGATGTGAGTATTGTATAATATAACTGGAACTGGAAAGTTACGTATATTGCATGTTTTCAAACAAATATAAAATATTTAAAATCGATTACAAGAGATTTTCAAGTGAGAGCGAGAGAGCGGACAGATGAAAGAGAAAAAAATTTATATATAGAATCGATGTATAGACTATATGATATAAATATATATTATGTTATAATACCATATGTAACAAGCCGCGAAGGCTGGGCCTTCGATGTGAATGTTATACATACACGATAAGATCATTTCTTCTCTAAACGTTCTCTTCGTTTTTTATTTTTTCGAGAGATACCAATACAAATGATGAATTTACCAGTACTGCTAATGCTCGAACGTGAGTGCAAGTGATAATGTCGTAACAATGCGAGAATTTTAGCGAGCGCGTGAATGATAATCGAGTGCTACGCAGATGTGTCGGATGTGTCAATCGAGAACGCGCGATATGTAATGTTAATTATTATATATTTTAATGAAATTCAGCCATGAGATACGAACAGCTCTTTCAGAAGTTAGCCAATGACAAGGGGAAATAAAGCTATAGGTAAAATATGGTCTACATGTAGTTATTGTATACGTGATGCGTGTGCGATGCACCCGGACAATTCTGTCGAAAGAATGGAGAGAAAGATGAGATTGTAAGCCTATCCATATTATCAGAATAAAGTTTCATCGTTTTTGGAAAAAAAGAATGACACGAACAATTGAATTTTTAATTTTCCATCCAGCCTGATTGTAAGAATCAATGAAACACGCGAGTGTGAATGAATGCAAACATTTATTGAAGGTCCACATTGTGCTTTCTCTGTCGATCATTCTCCACCGCAAATCTGATCAGTCGAGACAAGTTGAATTGCAGCTTAGAAGATGGTATTGGTAAAGATCCAGTCGAGGTAAGCATTGACCTTTGTGTAGATGCCTGGTTGGTCGGGATTGCCACAACCGATACCCCACGAGACGATTCCAATGTTCACCCAGCGGCCATTGTTCAGTTGGATCATCAGCGGTCCACCTGAGTCACCCTATGCGGTCGCGGAATAACGCTATCAAAATAAGGTTCGAACGGTAGATCGCGACTCTGCAGGGCGCACTTACCTGACAGGAATCGCCGTTTCCCTCGTAAGCGCCAGCGCAAAGATGCTTCGTTGTGATCTCCTGCACGTATTTGACGGCGCATTTTTCGTAAGGCCAAACCGGAACGGTAACTTCCATCAAGACGTAAGAGCCTGCGCCAGCGAACTCCGTCATGCCCCAACCTCGAATGATGCAAGGTCGAATGATCAGGTTAACACGACTAAGTAAGTATCGAGTCGGGGCAGTTCTCGAAATTACCAACGACGGTAGCCTGCTTGTTTTCAAAGATGGCCCCTACAGGTGGCAAGCATATGGGCCAGATGTAGGTATTGAAAATAGTCGGACGATGGATCTTGAGGATGGCAATGTCGTTGTCGAGGGTGCTTGGCGAGTAATCGGGATGGATACGGAAATCCACCACGCGGAAATCCAAAGCACGTGTCTCGTTAGGGAAGCGAAGGTCGTACTCTCCAAGTCGAACTCTAAAATCTTTGGACTTGTACCTGCGAAAGCATAAAAGCCGAGGTCTCAGAGCGAGCGGTAGCCTTGGGCGAGCAGCTCGCTCGGTTTAGGGTCTTATCGACCTCCAGATGCAATGGGCAGCTGTCAGCACGTGTCTGTCAGTGATGAGTACTCCGCCGCATTTCGTGTCACCGTCCCTTATCAGGGCGGCCACCCAAGGCCATCCGCGCGTTCTCGTGGGTTTGCCACCGATCACGCGGTTCTGATCTTGCGCGCTGATGCCACATCCCCGCGAGCGTCTGACCATCCGGTCGTCGGTGTCCTGACCCGTCATCGTTATCACATCCGGTCCCTCGGCTGCGCGCGTTACAAAAGCAACAGATAAATGGACCAACAGTTAGCGAGGTTGGAGTTTTCGGCAAAACCCGTCGGAGATAATCATTGTTATTTTTGTATATTTCACGTACTCGCAACGGCGGGAAGTGAGCCAGCTAAACCCCCGGCAGGAGGCACGTCAACCAGAGTATTGTCGGGTGCGTCGTCGGCACAGCAGACTCCGACGAATCTGCAAAATGACGGACGATTGTTTTTACAAGTTGGAACAGGGTAGCAAGGCCGTAGTGGTTGAGCGAGTCGCACGACACCTACTGCTGGTCGATCACGCATACGTAGTCCAGCATACGAGGAAAGTTCTGGCGATACGTCTCGTCTCCGCAGCTGGACAGGTGCTTGCAATGGCCCGGTTTGTTGCCTGGGGCTATGCACGCTTGGAACTTTTGCGAACTCTATCCAAGAAAAAAGAAACAAGCAGTTTGCACGCTAGAACTACTGAGAATGTCGGCTAGACGCACGACGTGATGATTATATATTTGCGATCAATTTTGTTTCTCAAATATTATTTCTCGAATTCATGAAATTTTGCTATCATTGATATTCAATTACCGCTTGACCCACTTGGGCTGGCACTGCTCGTTTATCACGGAGAAGGTCTGGAATAGAAATTGATAAAGGTTTGATGAGAAAATAGTTAATATTTTTTGAAACTTTAATTAGCGATGGAAGTAAGAATAGATAAGGCTTATCGAAGACAGTAGGAAGCACGTTTTCCCTTCTGCGGCAAATTCAATGAACCGGACGCGCGCAATGTGGTTTTCAAAACAATATCTTATTTTCAACTTGCACAGCAACATAACTAATATTAGTGATTTCATAGCGGAATGCTAGACTTATTCGCTCAAATATAAAGCATACGGGTTTTTTCGAAATAACGATTGACATACCTTTGGAGACATTTCTAGTCTTAGTCTATTTCAATTTCAAGCAAATTATCTAGTTATACAATACGATATGCTTCTGTCAATAAGATACGTTTCTTCTATGAAATTTTCGCTAAATGTAACTTGGCGAGCAATAGCTTGGATTTAATTGAACAGCGAACACGAGTAGTTGTGAAGTCTTCGTAGTATAATCATTTAAGGAGAGTATATTTGTCAATTACTCAAGTTCTTTGTGCACTTACCTAGCTGTCCATCCGATTTCGACGAGGAATCGACGATTTTAGCGAAAACGCAAGTAGCCAAGGCGGTGATGATTAGAACGAGGAATCCTCGTCGTCCTGTCATGATGAGCAGTCAGTCGAAGACTAGCAAGAGGAAGATGGAGGCACGCGTCAAACTGATTCAAATGGCTGTGCCAGTACTGACGCTTCTCTCACGAAATCGAAGGATGTCCCTCCAGAGTAACGGTGCCCCGCTCCTTTTATTCCTTCTATCGCTCTTTCTCTCTTATCGCAACTCGCCTGGCGCTCGGCGCTCGGCGCTCGCAGGCTGGCACATCCGGTTGCCGCCGCTGCAGGCGCTCGCATTTGTATGCCTCGGGATTCGCGTGCCACATTGTATCTGCTCGTTGCATTATTCATGCGAATGCATGCATCTTCCAGCGATGCACACGGACCTGCCTACGCTACTGTAGCTTTCATTCCTCCAGCTGCACGCTGGACTTCTTTTCTCTTCTAATGTCTTCTTTTGCCTTTGCCTCCGTTAGCATTCGTAGCTTCTGCTATCTAATTGTTTTTTTAATTGTATCGAGTGTATATATGTATGGAGCAGTGCGCTCTTTAGGTGAATCAGCCGGCTATCAGCGAGGATGTATTTTTCGAGAGAACGACGAGGGGGGAAAAAGAGAAAATCCAAGAGCGCGTAGATTAGCCCTGAGAAAGTAATTTCTAGGTCCTCGATCGGCACCGATAAAAGTAATCTTCAGAGCGCGCGCGCGGTCTCTACAAAACAATTAGACACGTCAGAAGCCGCCGAGAGCGAGCCTCGATGGGTACGTTAATGAGACACTGGCGCCAGTGGCAGCGAGAGCTCACCTACCTGACTGCGATCTCCAATCGTCATCTCTCGTCGGGACTGCCACTTCGCTTCAAATTGAACCCACCGAGGCCCACATTAGCAGCTCAGCCCCTTCCCTAAGATTAGACGCTACTCTAATTTTCCCGTGGCAGACAAAACAAACACGGATTTTCGAATTATCAGCTAGTGATGCTGCTCGTCTTTAGCTCCACTATGAGATTTTTTTCCTGTTAGCGTCACGCTCAAACCCAGACGTATTTGAATCGTTGTTCTCCGATGAATTTAAATTAATAACATAAAACGTGTATTCCGATTACACGTAGTGCATTAAAACATTTGGAAGGGCGCGAAAGACAGACGGAGTGGAGAGAGCGTCCGCTATAAAAAAAAAAAGCAATCAACTTTTTCGTCGTACGCTCGTCAGGGAAAGAGAGAGAGAGAGAGAGAGAATATGCCGTTATAAGGTTTCTCAGTGAAGGTCGCGCACGTTAATTTCGTTTCCTTAATTACACGCATAATAAGGCTTAAAGGAGCGCGGCTAAGTAAAGCGCAATGCAGTTTTCAATGTAAAAGGCATGCCGTCGCGCGAAGAGCCTGTCACAGATGAGAGAGAAGTTAATTCAACGCGGCTTGCACGCGATGCTCGCGCACACGAGGACCACGGTTCGCGCGAGTTTTAATAAGCGCGCGCGAGGCAGAAATTAAGAAATTTATCCTTATCTGATACACGCGCACTGAGCTCGAGGGGCGCGAAGTATATCGAAGAAAAATTAAAAAAACAGAAAAAAATGAAAAAAAAAAAAAAAAAAAAAAACAAGTAGAAGAACCGTTGATCTTTACGGGATGGGTTGACGCGTCCGCACGAGTGTATATAGCGTTACGCGAGTGCCACATGGAATATTACGTTGGCGATGGCGGACGCTCACACATACACACACACACACATCGGTGAAAAAAAATGAAATTGGGCCAGCTGCACATTTTTCGGTCGAAGACGCGCGTGTATCATTTTACGCGCAAAACAGAGAAGAAAAAATGACGACAAAGAGCGAGAGAAAAGAAACGGCGACGAGTCAACACTCGCCAACCGCAATAAACCCTCTCGGTTTGCAGAAGCACTCTACTTTCGCAATGTACACGTGTCTTTATCGTATTATTGCTGCGGCGAGAAGAGAGAGAGTGAGATTTGAGTGCACGACGTTATCTGCCGCTTTAACGGGGTTCCTTGAACCTTCGAGCGGGAAGATGTCTCGTTCGCGCGAATACCGAAAGCGAGTTATTCTCGCTTTGAGATCTTGTGTGACAGCGAGACCTACCAGAGACTCTCGTTCGAAGTCCTCGCAACGAATCGATAGAGTAATTCTGTACGTTGACCCAGGCCCCGACCTGCGCTTTTCTCTCGCCAATTCTTTTGGAATCAGCTCTTCGCGCTCCTTTCGTCCAAATGAATCTCGCTACTTTTTTCGCGATTCATTCGCCTGCATTCGCTATTAATGTAAGTTATTAGAGGATCAAGGGACAAAAATATCAATTATGTCTAGATATCACATTTACTTATTGATAACAGTACCCAATATTAGATATCTACACATGAACATTATAATACATATGTGAAAGTGTAGGCCTATTACTCAATATAAACTTGGCGGTGACTTTATTAGCCTCAATACAGCAATGTGTTAGCCCTGATTGACATTCTTGAAATATCGAGAGAACGACAACCCTTCGAAGTTAAGCTTACTCGGGACAACAATGTCAAGCTGGTGTGTTCGTCCCAAAGCGCAACGGTGGCAAGTTTTAAAGCAGGGGGTTTGCGGTGACGTCGGAGTAGACGGGTTTGGCATTGGGGTCGCTCAAATTGAGAGTGTAGCGATGCTCCTCGAGTTTCTTCGTGGTGTAGTTGTAGACGCGGTCGGTGTGGTAGAGGATGCCGCCCACCACCAGATTCTCGCTCTCGACGTAGTACGGATTGCCGTTGACGTCGGTGCCCGACTGGACCTTGCGCGAGCTGCCACCGCTGTTGGTCACGATCACCGAGCTATCGCCGGCGCTTACGTACGTGCCATCTGTGCGGGAAGACGAGAGGGCGCGATCAATGTCGATGAGCGAGCGAAAGGCAAACGATCGACGCGCACAGCCTGTGCGCCAACTCCGCCAAGTGTAGCGTACTATGGTTTCCGAGACCGAGGAGCTCGGGGAAACTCGCGCGCGCTTGCAGTTCGCGAGACTTGGCGGAGCTGTGGCGGCCTAAAGCGTCGCGCTGCTAAAGCGCTCGGCTCGCGCGCGCGAAGATACCCAAAGAAAATGGCATTACTTAGTTTATCGACGTTCTTCAGTGCTTCGGCGACCTGCTGATTGGCTCTTGACACCTGCTCGTTGACGTTGTGCTGTATTTGCTGTGTCATGCGGTGCACGTTGCTCTGTATGCCCTCGGTCCAGCGATTGATATTGCCAAACAGATCGCCAAACCAATTCTGATGCTGTGCCAACGCAGTCGGGCCTTGGTAGGCGCTAAGCAAGAGAGACGATTTGATTCGCCGGAAAAGAAAAGCTACTTTTTCACGCCAACGATTGTCAGTCGTAGCCGTGATTGTTCGCAAGGTCACTAGACCGTACTGTCTGCTTTTATTTTCCTTCGACGTTACGCCAAAACATTGTCCTATTAACAATCGCACGCCTCTTTGCCGTTTCGAACAATGGCAGTCTAGATTTTCCAAGCGAGCCAAGCGAGCGTTTCATCTGTCCGTAGCGAAAGCATCAGGTGTAGCCGACAAATCAATTTGTAGTAGTATGATGCTCGAGGCGCGCGTTAAACGTCTCGTAAGACGGCAACAATGCATTTTCCACGAGAAAACAACGCCGTCATTATATGGCTGCGTAAACATGCGGGCTGACTCTTCGAAAAAAGTTTCGCCGAATTTACGATGTTGTGCAACTCCCGTGTTGCACAAGCGCGAGCATATTCTTATCTGTTTACGAGACGTGTATTTGTTCAAAGAAAGAAACTAATAATAATCAGTCGCCTTGTCAGGCCTGGGCGTATTTTCTCTTTTCAGAGGCTCCTTTCAAGCTTAAATAAGTGACTTTCGACAATGAATAATAACAGTCGTTAAGCGATAACGTTGAGACATTTTGTCACACATGAGTCACCTGCAAGCGTAATCAAGTAAAGTCGTTCAACAGCGGATAAACTTGGAAAATTACCGTTTAATTTTCTCTCCGACGCTCACCTTTCAACGCCTTTTATTTGCACTGATTCATCGGAGCACTTTCCAACCGTTAAACAATTTTTTACCCTTGCACAAATGAATACATCGCTTTTCCAACAGCCGCGCAAGCTTCGCGTTACAGCGACGTACATCAACGGTAACAACGGAATATTCAACGCGATAAAAAGCTGATTCGCAAACTCAATCAAATATCGCACTGCGAAGCTATTCTATGATTTGCAGTTGAAGTAAAAATATATGTTACGGAAAAGAAAGAAAGCCACGTAGCGGTTTCGCAATCAATAACGACGTTGCAACAGATAAAATATTAAAAAGTAAAAGATTAAAAAGAAAGGCTAATGAAAGCCCGAATGAAGTCAGCTTACGCGAGTAAAAGTCCGCAGAATAGCAGTAGGACGGCTCTCATCTCTGTAGTTGCGTAGTGCACGTGGAAAGCAAAACGAGCGGCCAGGGAAACGAAAAAGTGAGAGAAAGAGAGAGTGCGAAAAAAGAAACTACGTAAAAGTCCAGCTCGACGCGCGAACTCTCGTTAACCAAGTGAAACTAAGCCGCGCCGCGAGTATACTGGCGCGCGCGCGTATCGGCACGACGACGATGCACGGACACGTATAGATATTTGTATTGCGCTGCCTTCGGCTGAATCGGATAATTGCGCCTGCGCTGCCGTTCGCCAAGCGTTGCCCGCGGAGGAGAATTATCTTACCGCGGATAATGTCGTCTGAGATCATTCTTGGGATTCGATTACATCGCGGCGCGCGGCACTCCAGTGCTGCGGATTCTGCCGGATTGTGCCACGGGATCGTGGAAACAAAATCTGTGCGAATCCAATCGTTGCGATTATCGTGGATAACGATACAGTTTAGTGAAAATTGATTCGAGCACCTGCAGTTTTAGCCAGCGATGTGGAAAGATTCTCTCTCTTCGGGCGAAAATTCGAAAATATTATATTATTTGAAAGCTTTCTTTTGACATCCGCCAAAGCAAATGTACAAACGACAATAAATTGGCTTGATAGTTGAGCATAAGTGTCACTTGATATATATCCCCGGGGAGCATATACATCGTCTTTCTTCCCATGGCCCGACGACGATTTAGCTGCTCACGCGCGCGACCGACCGAGCAGCTTTATCCTCGATGCGCAAATGGATCGAGCTGATGCCAGGAGAACGCTCGATCGTCCTGAAACGTGACTCCTGAGATATTAATATATTCATCGTGACAACTGCTATATAGCAGTGAGAAGTCTTGGAGTGTGAGAGACCGATGTACGCGGACTCGCGCAATCGATCACTCGCCAGATTGTTTCTTAGAAAAGTACCGTCTCGTTAGTCAAGTTTTATTTATATTTTACAGGGCTTTTATTGGTACGTTGTTGTACGTGTATTTACTTGAAATTCGTCGAGATATTTCGTGGCCACAATTATTATGCCAAAGGAGATTGCAAATTCATGACAATTTCATTAATTCATGTTCGAGTAATGTAAGTTCGAGTACTTTTTCCCTTAATCCCTCTGTATATTTCTCGCGTAACATTCGAGTTCATCTGTGCAATGTAACACTACAGTCACTCAATACAGTTGCGTTATAATCTTGCGCACCGATCGATTACTTATTTTTTCGAGTCAGTTTATTTTTCATGCATTGTGGGGAGATTTTATCACAGTCGGCACTTACGTACATGGGCCCTTCGACAGAACCTACTTGACTCATGACGCAACTATGGGTGAGCATAGAGTATAAAGCAGTTTATTTCGGGGATCGGGGTTTCTACAGTTTGAAGATCGTAACTATGCTTCGAGAATCTCGGCATGTGCGTAGTACATATTGAGCCGTATCGTTCTAATCTTTGCAGTAAAATGAAAAAAATGATATTGTAAAATATTTCAAATAATTTCTTTTAACGTTCTAACAATAATCGGAAGATTTCAATTAATTTTTTGTCCTAATACCAAACATATTTATGTAAATTTAATGTGGTAACTTTTTCAAATTAATTGGACTAGTCGATCTAGAATGATAGAGAATTAAAACGCAAACGAATGAGGTGGGTGGACAACTTGAGGGTTTATTACGGTAGAATAACGTATTAAATTTGCCATAAAATTTATTGAAAGCCAATACTGTTTTATCTATATTCTATTATTATTATTATTATTATATGCGTAGATTTCATTTTTTTTTAATTGTTCATCGCACTGTCGTGTCGGTTAGCTCTATTTAATTTTCTTATTCGAGTGACGTTGCGCTAATTTTCCTCACATGAGGTTTATTTCTGCCACAGTTACCTCGACGTGTAATATTTTGCTAGGCGCACAAACTGACAAGATAAGGTCATTGCATTGACTATTAAGCTTGATTAATGACTCGAGACATTCGTCCACACGTCGCAAAGGTGCAAAAATTGGTCAATTATGAGGGGACTTGAGCACATTCTTATTGGTCGTCGAAACCTCAGCTATGTCAGCTATTCTTTATGGACACGCGTTCTCGACTTTGGCAAGGCCACTGCAGAACTAGTTCCTCGGCTCTCTCTCTCTTTCTCTCTTCCTCTTATCTCCACAACATCATCGTCCGATTCTCTTCGTTTGGACATTTTTTGCTTGGCGTTTTATTATGTGTTTGAATAGCATTTGCCTTGTTCCGCGAAAAGTCGCGGGTATAAAGAGAGGCTTTGCCGATTTAGCGCTGACAGAGCGTCTGTTTATAAGGCTGTAGGCCATGCCACATTTGGTTTTCACAGATGATCATCAAACAAAAACTCACTGGTTCACAACTGGACTTTTTTTATATCAAATGAACGATCTTTCATTAGTAATCCGTGAAATAGTAGGTAATAAGATTGTTTTGCTGTAACAATGAATATTTCAATGACTTACAATGAGGTGCACGTCGTGTATTATAAATCAAACATTGCCGCCACGTCTTTGTGAGGCGCATGAAATGCGCCGAGCAATGCTATTAAATAATCGTAAGTAACGTGTATACGAAACGTGACGCGATAAAAACATCTCTGTCATCCCTACGTCAAATCGACATAATTGACTCTAGTTTTTCGCCGAAGGAACAACGATCATACACCTTCTTATTGTCGTGTCGGTGCGGCGGCAGCTCGCTACGAAAACTGGTTTCGCCCGCTTCTTCCTTTCTTTCCTCTCCTTTTTCGTCCTTTTAATTCCCGCTGCTTCTTTTTTGCTCCTTTTTCTTATCCTTTCTCTCTCTCTTTCTCTCTCGCTCTCTCCTTATAACTCATATCAGTGTCTCAGTGTCGATTCTCTTCTTCGTTCGCTAGTACCTAGAAAGATATCTTTAAAAATATACGTTGTATAAGAGTTATAAATTTTATTACTGTCAGGTTGAGTAACAGAAAATAATCAGCTCTAATTCTATGAAAATGCTATAGCTACTCTGAAAAAAGAAATGGTGCTCTGAATATCTCGAGAGCGATGAATATCAGCAGTTGCTCCAGTTGCAGTTAGCGTTCGATACGCAAGCAACATTTGCTGCTCTGGTAGGAACAATTGGCTCGTATTATCTACGAATGCTATATAATTAAATTGGAAATCCTACAGCTTAACCATTGATTCGCGCAACGTGCATCCTCGTCTTTGGCCTTTCATCGCAAGAGACATACCTGTGTAGCGCGTGAAGCTCGCCGATCCGCAATTCAAAATGAGGGCGAAACGATTGGCATCGCGGCGTATTCGGGAAGGATCCATAGGAAAACAGGTTCGCTGCGACCTTGGCCCGCGACGCCGAATGACCTCGCGAGCAAGCGCTGCGCCCTAGGCGTAGAGGCGCAGGTAGCCGCGCGAATCTCAGCCGAATAATTGGCACGTTTGCTATCTCCCTCTCTCGCGTTATTTATACTGTCCCTGCCGTGCGTAGCTCTCGATTCGGGCCCCGCGGCTGCAGCTGATTGATGCTCTGCTCAACGGTTCTGCTTGATTAACACCCGGCTGAGCCCCGACTATTAGAGCTGCTCTAATTGTCTTTAGATATCGCGGGTGTTCCAGCGACGAAAATATACGCGCGCGAGTCTGTTCTATCTCATTTCCTTTCTTTTTTCTCTACAGCGCACGTCGCGTGTGATCGATGCGATGGTTCGAACTATAGCCGCTGCTTTCGTGCGTAACGACCATATATATGCGGCTTGGGCTTTGTTGAGTGTGTGTATGTGTTTTTTTTATGTTAATAGACTATCAAAGTGAAAGTTTTGACGTTGACGATAGGGAATGATACAGAATTAAACGCTGGAAAATTGCTTGCGTAATTTCGAAATATGCACGAGGTACGCGAGGTGTATTTCGCGGCTCGTTAATCTTTAACCCTCTACTTACCGCGATGCGCTTCTTCATGTCTGTAACTGCAATTACTCGCTCTTGGAAATTGAACATTTTATAAATACACGATTGCAGCAATTCTTCGGGCAAGAGAGAAACTTTATGACTTTCGCAGGACATTAGGTATACGACGATGTATAATTTTTCACAGTCGAACATTGTGCATACTCGACCAGACTGCATTTTCTCTTCGTTGCTCCGTATTATTTTGTTAATTTTATAAATGTCAGCCTGCACAATGTCATTAAGCCAACTATTTTCATTTAGTAAAACGTACTGGACGTTTTAATTGGCGCTAGTCAATCGCCATGTATTTATATATCTGCGCGTGGACGGTAAAACATTTGTTATCCGTTGGGCTGACAGCCCATCGACAGATACACATTGGTTTGTATAAAAGTGAGCGTCGAACTCTCGAAGGTAGATTCAATTATTTTTATCGCGAAGGTCCAGATCTCAATTCGACTACACGCTGTATTTGTAGTAAAATTCTTCCGATATATTCACGTCGCGCAGACAGGCAGCGTATTGAATTAAAATTGAGAGAGGCGTAAAAATAACGAATGGAATTGGTTGCCGGTGCAGAAAGGGAGAGAGAGAGAGAGAGAAAAGATGATCATTGAAATGGCGAGACAGAGATCAGTGAGACTCAGCGAAACGAAGCGCATAACGTCACGCTATGGAACCCCTGTATGCGCGTTATTACGCGCGCACGCGCATACACGGCAGAGTAGAACAAATTTACGTTCTCTCTGTTATGGCGTAAGCGGAGGTCAATTGGCAATTTATTCGTTGAAATATCGGACGCGCGAGGTAGTATAAATTCGGGAGCTTCCGCGCCACGGATTCGCGTTGTTAATTCCCTCGAGCTACGCCTCTGCGTAGGCGGCGCGCGTACGTGACGTTGGATTTCATTGGACATTGTCCACGCGCGTTCCCCGTCGACGATTAACGAAACATTTGCAGTGCTAATTGTGACCTAATAATCGTTAAGAAACCGCCGCACAGGCGCTGGCGCGACGGCAAGCCGCGTGATATAAGGGCGTATTGTCGCCGTTTATCGCAAGCGCGTAAACGTGTGCGTGCGCTCGAACGAGAAATTCGCACTTGCTCGTTAGCTCGTTTCTTTCTCCGTTGCGCGAACGCGTCGACGTCGCGCCGACCCCGCGCGGACCCGACGATGCAGTCGATCGGTGTACTAATTAGTCGTTACTCTCGCAGCAGTGCAAATAGTTCAACGACGCGAGCAACAAGACTCGAGGAATTTCAGCTGTCCGACGACTGGCGATTTGGGGATATTGTCGCGCCGACAGCGTGCTGCACAACGGAGAGCGCGCTGTGCTGCGCCGTGCTGTGCGGAAGCCTGTTCGAAGCCCACGTTGCACTCTCTCTCCCTCGACCGCGTACTACTATAAAACTACTACTGCTGCCACGGTACGAGTGAGTCCCCTTCCTCCGCGCGCGCCACCACTGCCTACGCTCTGTCTCTCTCTCTCTCTCTCTCTCTCTCTCTCTTCTCTCTCTTTCGAGACGTTGGCCGAGGCCAAGCGGCGTTGCGTTGAGTTCAGTACTCGACTGCGCCGCTGGCCGTGCGCGCACGCTCGACGCGCTCGACTGGTGTGTACGTAGCTGGCAGCACCGTAGCCAACGCAACTGTAAACAAACTCAGCCTTTGCCACGGATTTGAAAATTCGCGCGTGTGACCAAATACTGTTGCCTCGGTGCCACTCCTCCATAGCCATTGTGTTGTTTGTGAGAGAGCAAGAGATGCCGAGTTGATCATGAGACGCTGCCTCAGTGGAGACGCTTGCCGCTCGCATCACTCGACGACCCAAGCGTTCGCTTGAACACTCGACCGAAATCTCGGTGAGCGTACCATGCGCGTTTTTCTTCTCCGAGGCCTACTCGGCTTGTGTTTCTCGTTTCTTCTTCTTCTTCTTCTTCTTCTTTTATTTATTTCTTTTTTTTTTTCGGAGTACCGAACGAAAGAGGTGGGCATCCTGGCAGGAAGCAGGATACGTGATTGAAAAACTAGTTTTTAATCCCATGCCCGAGACTTACTTTCTGTACTTTACATCTTGTATGTAAGCGAAACATGCCCAGCTATTCCTACCTCGCTCCAGCGTGCTAGATTTTTATCGAGAAATCGGCAACGATCGCTTCCGATACGAAGCGATTTACCGTTGCGAATACGTCGGTGCGCATTGTGTATTTTCAAGATGCGACGACAAGAAAAAAAACAGCGACGAATATCAGCGAAACTAGTCGCCGACAATCGGATGCAAATGCTGCGAATGAGAGACGCATGCAAATGGTTCGCACCTCGCGCATCGTGAACAATCGATGGGCTAAAGTTATTGGTTACGACATCGTCAACGGCAGCAGCCCATATCCGTTTGTCGCCGACGCGCCATGAATTATTTACGGTGCGTGTATGTGTGCTCCCGCCAACGCCGGACAACTCCGCTTTTTTGTTTGTTTGTTTTTTTTTTCCTTTTTTTGCTCCAGTGTGAGCCGTGGGTCCGACTTTTTTGTTTGGTTTTGTTTGTATTACGCGAGGGGTTGCTCTCCCTCGTCTATTTCCACTCGGACATCTGCCAATGAAATTGGATCGCGCGGTTAAACAGCCTCGCTGAATAATACTTTATTCGACCGATATACAATTGGAGCACGGGATATGTCCTTATTTGTCGAGTGCAATGAGCGTTTTATGTAATAGATACGTGTCGCCTGCGCCTGCCGCCTAAATAGCGCGCGTATCAATCTATTTTCTTCAATTGAAATTCCAGAAAGACACAAACGCAAATATAAATATATCTTTAAGCCACGGCGTATCGGGTGTATATATACAAGAAAAAGCGTGCGTGTACGTATCTCCGATTGCGAGTGAAGCGTACGTTAAAAAAATATAGCTGACGCTAACTCGCGAGGCGAGGATCTGCGCGCGTGCGTCCACACTACGGCTGCATGCATCGCTTATCAGCATAAAAAAGTTTCGAAAGTATTCTGTGTCGCCGAAGAGGAGAATATTATGAAATCTCCTTCTCCTTTGGTACTCGCACGCACGCACGCGCGCACACACGAACAGTCTCTGGGTCTTGGTTGTCGAGTACACGTCGACGACGACCGTTACGTAAACGCTGACGCTCTCTTATCTGTCGCTCGCATCAAAGATTAGAGGCCTCATCGCCGAAAGACTAAACACTTTTTATTTACGCCGGTCTTCTTCCGACTCTCCTCGTCTGTACTCTGCTTTCGAAGAGTGATGCTGCAAATCGCATTCGGAGCTGCGAATGAAAACGATCGGTTCGGGGTTGAAATTCGAAGCTCTCTCGTGCGCTTTGTAACACCTAACTCCAAATGATCACATTGGAAATGTGAAGTGTCTGCTCTCTCACTGGGAGATTTACGGAGCGAATGGCCACTCGAGCGAGACATTAATTACTACGCTGTTAAGGGATATCGTTATGTTTATGAGATTAAAAAAGAAAGAGAAGTAAGATTGATTGCTCGAGCGAGCATTAAAGTATCGAGTTAAGAAACGATGGCATTTAATAAGAAACCAAATTCCGATTCCGGTTCCATAAAAATGGCCGGCGAGCAGTGGGAAAGCCGTTGTGCATTGTTATCTCGCGTGCGCGCGAGGTGGCAAAGAGCAAAGACCTCATTACCGTGCTCGCGCGGGGGGAAAGCAAGATAGGAGACTCGGCCGAATAGAGTCCTTTCTCCGGATGGTTCAATAGACGACACCTATAACCGGGGAAATGGATCGGTTTTCCGCTCGGCGCCGGCGATAATCATCTCCCTCGCCCGTGCGCTTGCCGCGCGCGAGTTGGGCTGCGCGCAGATACACCTGAGAGAGCGAGAGCTAGCCAGCAGGTATAGGCTGCGTTGCGTACAGAGAGGGCTCCCTCTTTGGCTGCGCCATTGTACTGCCCTCGTGGGTCGTTTCTCTCTCTTTCTCTCTCAGTCTCTTACCATACTTATTCTCGCTCTTGCTTTCGCTGCCGTCTCTTTTTCTTCTTCGTCCTGTCGCTGCATCTTCTCCGTACACATGCGCTCTCGCCGTCTCACTTTGTTGCCCGCTTCTTTGTCGTGCGCGCACGCCTGTATTCGCTCGCTTTGCTCTCTTTTAATTGCGGACATTTCGTTGCCTTGCTCGCTTTTGTCGTGCTTTATTATTGTATCGCTGTCCCCCGGCCCCGTTGGCGTTTTGCCGAGCCTCCAACGCAAACCTGATGAATTATTTAAGCGAGACTTATGATTTTGTCACGCGTTAAGCTGAAGCTGCTGCGCTCTCTCGCTCATTAGAATATTTTATGTCGAGGTGGGTTGTAACTTTGGGCCCTAAGCGCTCGGAGAGTCTTTTCGCTACTTGCGTGGAGGGGTCTTCTACTCCTTTCCTTCTCCTCTACTTGTCTCTCACACACGGCTCTTCCAAACTCATTTTTCTTTTCGTGCTAGTTTTTTCTTTGTCTCCCTTCATAACTCGTTTTGCTTCTCCTCTTTGTTTTTCATCCTTCTTTTTCTCTCCGCTCGTAGAAGAAGAGAGGAACGAAGAGTCCTTTTATCTCCCTTGTACTTAATCTTTGAACCTCTTATTTTTTCATTTTCTTCCCTATAGGCACCTCCCTTCCAGGCCTCTCTTTTCTCTGGTGCCAATTACGCACTCTGCACAGAAACACGCTTTGATAATTGAATGCATTTCCAAGTGACTCGCTTCCGCCAGCTTTATAAATATTAAAGACCATTATGAAGTACAAGGCGCATCTCTCGGCGCATGCATTATTCAAAAATCATTCGACAAACAGGCACGTGCATACGAATCCCAATAACCCCGTTCGACCCTGAAATGCATTTCCCATGCGCGCTCAGCCCTCGAATCTCCTACGGCAGTTCTGCCCCATGCGAGTCCCGTTGACCGAGGCGCTGTAGTCGAGAGAGACCTGCTGCGGCACCGAGCCCCCGGGGCGATGCATCAGTCTATAAAAGGTCTAGGGCCCCTCGTCTCTCGCTTCTTTGGGCCGTAGCCCATTGTTCGCCGACTGCGGGGGAGTGAGCCTGGCCAAAACAGTGACTCTCGATGTTGCCCGGACACTGCGCGTTGTATTGCCAACGTCTTTCTCTCCGCTGACTTTCCCTGGCCGAACAATCCCAAAATCGACGTTTTTCGTGACTCTCTCGCTGACTTCCGTTTTCAACGGCTGTGCGTGCTTGCGTGTGTTTATTTTAATTTTAGAGAGGGAGAGAGAGAGAGTACGCGGAGATTTCCACTCGGTGTTTACTTTGGAGCAAGGATGAGCATTTTCATTCTGCTTTTTTACAAGAGGAAAATAGTTTTCGTCAATGAGTTGAGCTCAGTCTCGTGAGCCGTCAAGCTTTATCAGTGAAAATAGACCGACGAAACCTTCCGCTCGTGCGTTCGGGAGAAAGAACCTAGGCAGCTCGATCGTCCGCTAGAAGCAGGCATCAGCAGTGCTGCTTAATACGAAGAAACGGAGCAATATTGATCGGACGTCCATCTTCGGCAACGTACACGTTAGCTCGGCTGCGTTGGCATCGCGAGGGGCGCAAAACAATCCACTCTTCGCTCTATCGTCGATTGCGCCGGGGCAGCGCTGCATTATCGCGCCTCGCCAGGTCTTTTTATCGCAGCGCACGCACACATTCAAGCTGCAAGCGAGCACACTGATAAGCCAACGAGTCTATTGGTACCTGCCAGCTGTACACGTGTGCGCGCAGCGAGTATCGCTCGATCGCGTGTAGAGAGTATACGTACACGTACGCGCGCGACGGCCTTCCCGCGAGAGAAGAGAGAGAGCGAGAGAGAGAGAGAGAGAGAGAGAGAGAGAGAGAGAGAGAGAGAGAGAGAAAAACCAGTTTCGCGTATACGTGGTGTGTGCCGTTTTTGCACTCGCTACTCACCCACGCCCAGGAGCGACGTGTGTGTACGAGCAGCCTCCGCGCGCCTAGCGTATATATGGCTGTGGAATATCTGGTTTTATGCCGCGCCTGCATCGCTCAACATCTCGCTTGTGTACACAGATGCGCGCCTCTTTTTCTTTTTTCCTTCATTTTTTTCATTTTCTGATTTTTATCACCTTTTTTCCTCCCCCTTTCCCGCTGCCGGCAGAGGAGCAGAGAGCCACGCCTCGTTAGAAAGGCGTTAAATGGATGTTGCCAATGTTCGAAGGGACGAGAATCGTAAAGTCGTGGCGTCTCTCTTCTTACTCGCGAAAAATGAGAAAGCCGGGTAGCCCTCCCTCCTCCCACTCCGCTCTACGCGCGCGTATATGGTGGAAGGTCTTTTTATGGTGCGAGATGCGAATACGCGCCCGTCGTATTTTTGCAGAGAGAAATTTAAAAAAATTATACATCTTTAATACGAGGCGAGCTCGTCACCGCGAGAATGTGCTTTACGATCTACACACTCCGTACGAAGGTGTTTAATGCTCTTTTCTCCAGCGCGGATTATTATTAATAATTCTCGGCACAAGTATTTCAAAGTAACGCTTAATATTCGTCGGGACAGCGACTAACGGTTCGCATCGCCGGCCAGGCAAGCTCGTAAAATTTTACGCGCGTTCAGTGCACACAATTATGCGCCGTGGAAAATAAACTTGACAAAACGGGATTCAATCTCGAAAAATGAGACGCGCGAACAGCAGAAAAGAAGAAGGCATCGATTTTTCAGAAAAAGATGACGAAGAAGAAGAGAATGCATGCATAAAGCGTCCTCTTGCTCGTGGCGACACACGTGCTTGCCCTCCGTCCGCGCTCGCGTGGAAAAAGCAAAGAAAAGGAAGAAGCGAAGGGACACACGTGCCCCGCATCTGCCCGATTTAGAAAGCGGAACGAATAGGCGG